TTGGGTGGCTTGGGTGGGGCAGAGGTGTGGGAGGACCAGATTGCAGAGAGCGCTGATGCCTGTGTCTTGCGGCGGAGCTTGGGTGATAGACAGGAGGAAAGAATGTGGCTAGTGACTCAGACTGCAGCCTCATCGGGGCACCAGAACGACCAGGGGAGTATCTGAGGAACTTCCCAGGCTCTACCCCGACTGCCGAGTCTGTCTCTGGGTGGTACCCGAATGCATGTATTTTTAGAAAGCTCTAGGGGGTACTTGAAGGCACAGTTGGGTGTCGCCACATTGAAGCAGGGTGCAAAACTTTCCCAGTAGACAGGGAGACGCATGTTAAATGGAAGTAAAAGAGGAGAGCGGAACTAAAGGATGGTCCGCGCTTTAATGTGCTGGGATGCAAGGACACATTTCTTGGCCTGTGCCTCTCTCCCTATCCCCACCACGCATTCATGCCAAATTTAAACATACCCGTGTTCTGCCTACCGCACTTGTGGGGTTTACGAACCTGTGTCCCACGAGGCTGATGTCCCACGAGGTCATACTAGAGGATGACCAAGAGTGGATCCTGGGGCCTGGGGAGATGGTTGGTGAAATGCCAGTTCTACAAGCATGAGGGGAAACAGGAGGATCCTTGAGCCCATTGGCTGACCAGCCCAGCCTAACCAGTGAGCGCCAGATTCAGCGAGAGACCCTGCTTCAGAAAACTAGGTGGAGAGTAATTGAGGAACAAAGACGTCAGATGTAGATCCACACAAACATGTGTACACAGCACTCTGGGACTTGGTCATTCCTTAGTCCCAGAGGCATGAAAGAGCCAATGGGCCTTCGGTAGGAAAGTGTGGCCGCTGGGTCCAGGCAGTCGGGGGTAGGAGGCAGTATTTTGATGATATCAGCAGGTCACTTCCGGGCCTCAGGTACCATCGCCATAAAGTGGCAAATAACAGCCTTTTTCTAGGGTCTGTGACCAGAATGGAAAGAGGATGGTTTGCGCCGGGTATGCGAGGCAGAGTCTGAGGGCTACATTCTCCCCGAGAGGTGCAGGCGCTCACTGTTCGGGGAGCCAGCCGAGCTGAAGAAGGCTGTTGCTATGTGGTAGGGAGCTTCAAAAGCAGATGGGAGACCTGAGGAAAGGAAAGAGCCTCTGGCTTGTGTGGAGGTGGACTGTAGGGACAAAGGCAGCTTCAGGCACGCGCTGCTCTGGGACTCTCGGGGATGGGGATGAGGCTGCCTGACTGGCCTTTTCTGTACCAGCTGCCCTAGGGCGCCAGCCCTTCTGCTTCTCCACAGAGCTTTGGGCTGCTGCTTCTCGTCCTTTATCTTTCAAACAGCTCCCCAGAGGTCCCTTCCCCAGGAAGTCCTACTGGACCTACTGGAGGGAGGGACCCCTCTGCCTCTGCCCAGGTGGCATCCAGGATGCGAGGCCATGCACGGTCTGTCTCCCCAGTGAACTCCCGTAACACTTCATGGGAGTGTGCTGTTCGTCTGGTCAGTGCTTCTCTGTACATTGGCCAGGGAGCATACTGAGGGTGTTCGGGGTCCATTGTGACGTCCCACAGCTGGAACAGGGAGGCTCCCTGGTGACAGATGCTTCTCGGCCTCCTGCCCAGCTGCCTGTGGGAAGGGGCCCCATCCACACGCAGGACCGGGAGCTGGCCTCCCTCTACCGCAGGTCCCCCCTTGCCATGAGGATTGGACATTGCCTAAGGTAGTGGGCTGTCAGTGTGCTCTGGGAGGCTGGAGAAGGAGCTTCTGCAGAGGCTGGCCTGCAGCCATGGCAAGCAGCTCCACTCCTGAACACCATTTAGTTGGTGGCTCTGTTGCAGACATGCTCATAGATATCTTGAGTGAGTGCTGGTGTATCTGTTCTTCGGGGTGTGTCCATGAGTCTGGGGCGGTTTCTGGAGCAACACTCCAGGCTGCTGTTTGGGATGGGGTGTCGGGAGCCCAATTGGAATGCAGGCTATCCTCTTGGAAGGATACTGGGTTCGGGGCACGTGTTTGTTTTCTGGGAGTATCCAGGGACTTTCTCTCTTCTCCAGTGGCCAATGTGGTCATTGTCAGGAGTGGCACAGGACAAGTTCACGTGTGCCCCTGAGTCTGACCAGTGGTCGTTAAACCCTGGCCAGATTAAATCTTGGTCTTGGACATAGAGCGGGGAGACCCTCTGCACCAGCACACAGACCTGTATTCGCTGAATGCATTAGCTCCATGAGGGTTATGGGCATGGATGTCTCAGTGGCAAGCAGCCCCTAACTGGCTAATACCTGATGTTATATGTAGTTATATAACCAGTTATATGCAGCTTGCCTGGCAATTCCCAGATGGCAAACAGTAGTGCAGGGCTAGAAGAATCCCATCTCCCCTCTGATGACCGCTCTCTCTGCCCCCCAGCCTTGGCTGCTTCCATTCTTTCTTTCTGCTTACAGAGACTGAACAACTGCTGTCTACTGGGTACATTGCAGATTTTCTACATACGACAGTTAAGCAGACCGTCACATCACCTGTTGTGCCCACACAGCCCACCCTTCATGGGGAGTCAGTTAATAAACCACCAGCAAAGGCACCACTATGTGCCTTGAAAATGAAGCTGTGGTCCAGGAGGGCTTCTTGGAGGAGGTGACATTTGAGTGGACAGCATAATAACCTCTGCTGGATTTGTAGCTTAAACTCCAGCTAGTCAGAAATGCCTTTACTGTCATTTCACAAAGAACGCCCGAGACCCCAGGAGAATCAGATGTGAATATAATCTTATACCTATAATACAGAGCGTGGGGGGCTGAGGCAAGAGGATGGCAAGATTAAGGCCTGGTGGATCCCAGAGTGAGTTCCAGGCTAACCTGGGCAGCTCAGTGATACTCTGTGTTAATTGCAAGGTAAAAAGAGAGCCGGGATGTAGCCCAGTGGCAGAGTTCTTGCCTCGCATGCACAGAACCCTGGATTCAATTCACGGTACTATATACAAGACCGGTTTGGGTGGTGTGTGTCTGTAATTCCAGCACTTGGGAGACTGAGGCAGGAGGATGGGGAGTTCCAGGAGGCAGGGGGAAGAGAGAGAGGGTGGGACAGATGAACACAGTCGGGGGATCTAAACGATCGGGTACAAAAGTGGACAATGACTCTGATGTCCTGGCTGGCCAGGATTGTGCTCCCAGCAGCTCTGGGCAGGACCTTGCCGTCCCAGAATGTCTTGTTACCCTCTCGGGGCTTCTGCCTTGAGTGATCTGAACTTTGAAATGCATTTGTTAATTTACCTTTTCGGCTGCGGCTGGGTGTGTTGGAGGGAGTGGACTATGACCACCTCTGTCTGTATCTGGCAGCCATCCTTCCAGGCAAGACTAACTACTTTTCAGTAGTCTTTCTCTGTCTGGACGGAGATTCCACCCATTGTAATAACCTGGTCTGTCTGTCTGTCTGTCTGTCTGTCTTTTCTTTTTCTTTTCTTTGAGACAGGGTTTCTCTGTGTAGCCTGGCTGTCTGTAGACCAGCCTGACCTTGAACTCACAGAGATCCACCTGCCTCTGCCTATTGAGTGCTGGGATTAAAGGCGTGCACCACCGGACCCAGCTCTACCCTGAGGTTACAGTGGATCTGGAGAACACCCATCCCTGTTCTCTGGATTCTGTCTACACCTTTCCTGCCTTTACACCCATGAGTGGAGACCCAGGTGCTTTGGAGTGGACTGGATAGAACTCTGTACTGCCCTTCGTCTGCACATGGATGCAGGGTCCTAGTGCCCCTTGCCACCGGTATTTGTGGGGAGAGAACTTGACCAGCTTGTCCCAAGGGCCAGGGTGAATCACCTTGGGCCACTGGATTTTACTCAGAGAATTTGAAAGGAGCTTCTGGCTCCAGTGAGGCTTCCTGGTGTTTGTGGTGTTCCATAATAGTATGCTGCTGTCCTCTGAGCTTTTAAAAGGAAGCGACTTGGTGCTACACGGTGAGGAACAGTAATGTGAGTCTTTTAAATTGTGTTTTGTTTGCTTGGTACTGTTTTATGCCTGCGTGCCAGATGCCTTGTTTAAACTACAGAAGTGCTACAAAGTAGTTAAGATTGTTCCCTTGTAGGAGGTGAGGGGATGAGGCCACGGAGGCTGCAGAGAGTACCTGATCAAGGTCATGGCTACTGGGGAGCTGCCCTGGGTGCCCAGCCAGGTCAACTTCAGAGCTGTGCCTGCAACCTAGATAGAACCTTAGCTTTGACCAACTGTCCCCTCCACCCCCATCCCACTTCCCTCCCCTTTTGTCTCACTGTGAACTTGGGTTCTCCTGGAGCTCTCAGCCTCCTGAGTGCTGAGATTGCTGGCAGGCCTCAGCCTGTGCCAGGGTCCTAGGGAAGGTCCTTTCTCTTCATGGCTCTGACACACTTTATACAGTAAGTTTATGCCCACATACCCAGAGACTTTGACCGAGACCTGGAAAGTAGATACAACATTGTTTTCCAATAAAAATGTAATTAGGAGCAAACAGGAGCAGGGATTGGCATCCTCTTCAGCAAGGGCAGAAGAGCACCCTTGTGAATGGGCATGGCAGCAGTGTGCACAGAGCACCTCCCTACCCTGTTGAGCTAAGCCCTCCTGGGATAAGAGGAGGCTTACTTGACCCTTCCTGAGCGCCTAGAGTGAGTTTTGGGTGGCGCTTGTTGCTAGGTACTTGGTAAACATTACCTTTTGGATCTATTAGCACACCGCAAGGTGTAGGTTGGGCCACTTGTTTTTGAGATAGGAAGACTGGCCCGGAGAGGTCAGGTTGGCAGGCTGGACCTCCCGTTTGTGTTGCAGTGGACTCTTTTTTTGCATGCCCCTCCCAGACTAGACACCCTTGGGTCAGGAGGCAAGGACGACATTGTTGCTGTAGCCCCATCTCCCGCTGCGGTCTCCACTGAGTGAGTTCTAGGCATTTGTGGGTTGGATTGAGGTTAAGTAACCCATCCAGGCAGGTGTGCAGTGATGAGACCCTTAGGTTTGTAGGAGCCTGTGGACTGTGACCCTATAATCAGGGTGGGATCTGATTTCAACACTTATCACTAAGCCAGGTGGATGCAAAATGACATGTGCCAGCTTCTTTGGATTCCATGATTATTTATTACAGCTATGATTGGAAGCCACCCAAATATCCATGAAGAAGGGCCTGGGTAAAAAACAGTGGCCATCCACACGACGGGACACCGTTTGGCTACAAATAAAAAGGGTTGTCAGTGGTCTAGGGCAGTAGCTCAGTGGTAGAGCATTTGCCTGGCATGCATGAGGTCCCAGGTTCAATCTCCAGCACTGCCAGGGAGGTTCTTGGGTGGGGTTTTGTTACTGAAACAGCCTGGCTGTCTAGCTTACGCTGGCCTCGTGATTCTCTGCCTCAGGCTCCCAAATGCTCAGGTGACAGGAATGTGCCATCATGCCCAGCCAAGGCAGATGTGAACTCTATGAGAAAAGGCAAGGTTAAAAAAAAAAATCAGTGTTATAGGCTAGTTTGGGGTAAAGGAGAGAAAAATGATTCAAAAATTTGCTCATTAAATCTAAACACACCCTGGAGATAGGTGAAGTAGTTAGTTACTAGACCAACAGAGGGTGGTGGTGAGAGGGGTCACTGAATGTTCTTGTATTGTCTGATTCTGAAACCAGGAGAATGAATGTATTACTAAATAATAATAATAATAATAATAATAATAATAATAATAATAATAATAATAAATAATAATAATAATAATAATAATAACCTAGAAAACAAGCAACAACAGAAAATTGATTTTGGACCAGAGATATTCTATTGTATATCACATAGCTTCTTACTCTGTCTGGAGGGGAACACCCTGGCTGTCTCTGGCTCTCAGGAAGTTTGAGTAAGGCTTCGATGGCCCTTAGCAAGGAGCCTCCTCCGGGTGTCGACCCTTGTCTTCATCCCCGGAGTTTGTCCTCCAGCACACTGCCGTGGTGTAACTCAGCTGGTTCTTCTCCCAACAGAGTGAAGTGAAGGGTATGGCAGAGAGTGTTCCAGAGCATTCTGGCTGCTATATAGTGGAAGAGTAAAACCGCAGGATGTTTTCCCAGATTATTTTTAATGCCTTTCTGATCAGCAAACATGGAGGGGTAGGGGACTTGGGTGTACGGCACCTCCTCTGTAGTCTGTGGGGCGCAGCTTCTTACTTGGCAAGGAACATGCTTGTGAAATGGATTGCAGTAATGCCCAGGACACAAAGGCTTCCCAAGTGCCTTCCCACCTGGCATCTGGCCCGTTCTTGTGGGGTATAGACTCTTCTTCCCGTTCTAGTGGTGAACAGAGTTGGTGAAGTCCTGCCCAAAGCCACAGTTCTGGCCTGGGGATGTAGCTCAGTTTGTAGAGAGTTTTCCTAGCATGCCCGAAGCCTTGGGTTCGATCTCCAGCACAACTTAAAATGGGTACACACCTGAGTTCCTAGAACTTGGATGGTAGAGGCAGGAAGATCAGAAGTTGAAGGTCATCTTCAATTGCAATGGAGAGTTTATGACCCATCTGGACTACATGAGACCTTGTCTCAAAAACAACAAACAAACAAAAAATATCTCCGTTCTTAAGTAAGTGGAAACGCCTAGAGCCAAGCCAGACTGTCTCATGCGTCCCTAGGATAATAATCAAAGCAATATTCCATAAGATGTCTCCCATTGTGTAGTGTGGCCCACTTCTACCAGAAAACACGACCATGCGCAGCCCTCGGTACAGTCCCCATTGCTCATGCGGAGGTCAGACGCCTTGTCTGAGTCTGTTCCCTCCTTTACCACGTGGGGGTCCAGGGACTGAACTCGGTTCATCAGGTTAAGCACCTTTTACCCACCGAGCTCTCCCACCGGGCCCTCCCTTCACAGATGCTCTTACAGTTCCCCAGCTGCCGAGCGTGGCCAAGCATGCTTCCCACTGAAGAGTCTCGGCCGTGGCTGTTCCTCCCATTGTTAAGGGCCCTGATCACAGACTGTGTGGGACTCAAGCCCGCACAGACAACCCACCTTGGATGGCCTTCTTTAGCCACCCTTTCAATTCTGTCCCTTGTCACTACGGCTTTTCTTTTTTTTCCCTCTGCGCTTCAGCTGTAAATACAGGTGTATACCATCGCTGGCTTGATGTCTGCTTCCCCCACTGGAAGGCAGGCACAGTGGTGGGGGGGGGGGGACAGGCACCATATGGGTTTTCTGCCGTGCCATACCTTACCACCTAGCACGCTGCCTGGCACACTGTGGCTACTCCTTAAAGACGGCTGAATGGTTGATTGGGCCCGTGGTCTAAGCAGGTAACCCTCCTTCAGAGCAACAACCAAAGCAGCATTTTTTAGAAGACCCACGGCACTGCTTAGCAGGGAGCTTCAGAATGCATTACTCATCCGTTTAATGGGCGTTCAGCAGTTTGTGTACAGAGCTCTTCGCAGATGGTTGCCTAGCATCCTTTGATTATTGCGGGTCGGTCTCCCATCTTCCAGCCTAGGCCCCCCTGGCTCCCTCAGTTGTCCAGCGCCTGGTTTTCAGATGCCTCCCCATCCGAGTCGCCTTCTTCCGCCTGCCCGTGAGGTTCCAGAATTTAAGGCTTGGTCTTTCGGTGAAGCTAGGCTTTGAGACACTCCCACCAAGGAGCCTTGGTTTTTTCCACTTGTCTTTTTTTTTTTTAAGGTTTTGTTAGATTTTATGTGCAGTTGTGTGCTCACAGATGAGTGTCATCGTATGCATGTGGAGGTCAGCGGACAACTTGCAAGTGTTGGTTCTCTCCACGTGTGGGTTTCAGATATCAAACACAGGTCTCGGGCTTGGTGACTGAGCGACTTTAGCCACTGAGGTCCCCCTCCCCCCAAATCCTTGATACTAGAGCCTGAACATAAGGCATGCTAGTACATGCTAGGCAAGCCCTCTACGGGTGAGCCCCACCTCCCGCCCATGCCCATTCCTGCTTATTTCTCTTAACATAGCCCAAATAGCTTTGTCTGTGTGGGCTACTGTGATGGGGGGTGGGGGGTGGGGGCTGGCACTCCTTCCGAGGCGATCTGAGCCTTTTCAACTCCCTCCAGCCTACCTCCACCTATCTTGTCCACCTATCTCAAGCCCCTCCCTGACTCAAACAGTACTCAGAGTTGTAACATTTGGGATTCTTTATTTTGGTTTTTAGAATTTTAAGATTAAAGTAACTGTAGATCTGTGAACAACAGTTAACTCAATCTGTGTTGGGGTTTGGGGCTTTTTTTGTTTGTTTGTTTTTCGAAACAGGGTTTCTTTGGGTAGCTCTGACTATCCTGGAACTTGCTTTGTAACACAGGCTGGCTTCGAACTTACAGATATCCGCCTGCCTCTGCCTCCCGAGTGCTGGGATTAAACGCACGCCCCACCACCGCCCGCCCCGGCTCTGTGTTCTATTTTTAAAATAATTAAGTGTAGGTCAGGTTCACCAGCAAGACCGGGGGAAGAAAACGGCACTCAGGACACTAAACCAAACCTGCACCGCCCGGTTTGACTTAGCTTCCCCTTCCTTCTCCTCCCTCCCTCTCCCTCCCTCTCTCTATTGTCCTCCCCTTCCTCCTCCTTTCCCCCCACTTCTCTGTCTCCCCGTCTCTCCCTCCTCTCTTCTGCTCTTCCCCCTCCTTCTGGACCAGGATTTTTGCCATATGTATTTGATTTGTTCACTTAGGCAAGTTGAGTGCATCCTGTTAGGCTGAGGGAGAAACAGCTGATTGATTCCCTTCTTAATTAGTGAGGTTCTTCTGCGTGCTTGGTTTCCATCTCTGCCCAAATCATTTGTTCCCTGTTGGAGCCTGGATGCCAGGGCTTCAGCTCCTGTGTTGAGGAGACTCTGTCAGGTCTGACAGAGAGCGGGCAGGAGGGAAGCCAAGGGCAAGGCTTCTTCTCTGGGGCAGTTTGGCCATGCCTGCTAAGGTGTGTGAGGCCTGGCTGGGGGCCTCCCCCGCTCCCACAACCCAGGTTGGGTCTGGGTACTTCCCTCTCCGTCCCTTTTATTTGCCTCCCATGTTTCCTCTTGCTTTGAGGAGGTCCCTCCGGATGGGACTCCCTTTGCCTCTGAGCCCTAGGCTGAGAGGACAGAGAAAGCCCAAGGTTTCCGTCCCAGGCTGACTCTGATCTTCCAATACACCACAGGTTTCTAACTCATTAGGCAGGAGGTAGCGATAGCCTTGACCTCTCTACCCGCTGAGGGCTAGGACTAGAGACATTCCATCCGGCATGGCTTATTTGGTGCTGGGGATCAAACCCAGGTTTCATGCATGCTACCAACTGAGCTACATTTCCATCCCTGGAGCATTTGTTTGTTTGTTTGTTTGGTTTTCTTATTTGTTTGTTTCGTTTAAAGGTCAACTGGTAATCGGGTGGATCTCCACACCAAGGCTCCGGTGTCCTGGCCTCTTGAGTCTGAATGGCTTTGTGTCTTTTGAGGCGGGTCATGACAGGGTCATGATGGGCAGAATCATTGAATTGCCAGTGAAACTGGGGAAATGGTCTCTTTTGTCTTGTGCAGTCAACATCTTGAGGTAGAAGCCCTAGGGAGTGTGCCGAGGGCCTTCCCCAGCAGCCAGCCTCAAGGCCATTAGAGGTCCCAGCACCACTGACTGGTTTAAATCTCCCATCTGATTTCAGCTGCTGGTCACTGGCATCCCTCAGCTGGTACAGTTGGTCTGCCCATGAGTGGTTCTAGGGGGATGTTTTGCCTCAGACATCGGAGAAGGGAGTAGTCATCTAGAAGCTTTTCAAGGACGGTTGCCCACCTGTGCCTCAACCTTTCTTCCAGCCTGAGTGGCTTGTTCCCGTGTGAGCATGCACTGATGGCCAGTCCCTCTGTACAGGGCACCTGGGGGACACTGAGTCTGTAGACCTGTGCAACAACTCTCAGAGGGCCCTGGTAGCCAGGGACAGACAGGCTCCTGGAAAGGGTAGGTGAGGTAGAACTCTGTGACATGCAATGCCATGTGGTGTCATCATTTTTTCGCTGCAGAGAAGGGCCTAGCTAGCAGTGGGGTGAGGCAGAGACAGCTGCCTTGGAAAGAGGTGGGGGGTGGGGGTCCTGAGAATCTGGCTCTGGGTTTGCCCTTGATCTCCATGGCCATTAAAGGCTTTAGGGGGAAATAATGAGCCATGATGCAACATCACTGGATCTGCCCCAATCCAACCCAGCTTTTCTATTGCATGAGGACAGTGCTGTGGCTCTCTTGTAAGAACACAGCACCCACCGTGGGTTTTATCAGGAATCGCATGCAGCGTTGGTGAGTGGAGGCAGTTCCCGCCCATTGCCCTTACCTCAAGAGGGGCTTGGGTGCCACTGGATGCTCTGTGAAATGACTGACAAACTCCCACATTTGGAACCCCACACCCTGGGCCTCTGGGGACTGTTTTTGTGATCGTGGTGTGTGGAAAGAGTCTAGCTGATCTGTTTCTCCATCTTAGTTATTATCTACAATAATGAACAACCTTGCTCCTCTGCACGCTGAATCCTGAGCTCCTCCGTCCCCGAGACCCCCTGTCTCCTTTAGGGAGTCCTGCCTGAGTTTGGATCTAGAGGGAATACCAGGTATTCAAAGTTCATGGTAGTTCAAAGTTCGGACCAGAAGGGCCTCATCTCTCCATGCCAGCTCCACTCCAGTGTGCAGTCTGGAGGATGGGGCAGAAGCCCAGAGTGAGCTGCAGCTGCGACCAGGGCACACAGCAAATTCAGAGACACAGCAGAGGCAGAAGCCAAGTCAGGAGACTGCCTGTAGCATCCTTGCATATTCCTTGAGTGCTTCCTGACCAACCCCTTTTTTTGACCGCCTGGATTGGTGACCTCTCTCCCTGTATGTGTTCCAGGCCACACAGGAAGCCAGGAAGGAAACATATATTAAGAGAATGGAGCCTGCTAGCTTTCATCATCACCCCCGGCTTCCCATACCTCTCTCCACCCCATCTTTCTCTCACCTCTGTACCTTCAGACAAGCCTGAGTCAGACCCCACAGCAGCCGTCTAGGCTGTTTCAGGCCTCTCTGGTAACTTTCTGTTACCTGAAAGCCAGTCACGACTAGGGCAGGGCCAGGCAGCCAGGGAAGGAAGGCTTGGTGCGGGAGGAGGAATCGATGGTTGAGATGGAAGGCAGGAACGAGGCTGTGAGAGAAGGAATAAAGGGAGCTGGAGAGAGAGTCCAACAGTGAAGAGCGCTTGCTGCCCTTGTAGACTCCCAGGGTTCGGTTCCCAGAACCCACAAGTGGCTCACAGACGTTTGTAACACCAGTTTCAGAATATCCGACGATCTCTTCTGGCCACTGCGGGGGCCCGGGGCTCGCACACAGTATGCAAGCAAAACACTCGTCACACATTTTTTTTTTTAAATCTTAAAGATAGAAGGAATGCAAAGGCATAGTATGCGGGCTGGGGCAGAAGGTAGACATCCTCTTGAGCAAGTCTGGCCTGCACCGGGGCCTCCAGGTACCACCAAGCCCTTTCCAGCGAGAGGAAGCGTCCCCTGTACCGACTCCTTCTGCGGGAAGTGGAGGCCAAGTCACCCGACATCGCGCGGGCTGCGGGGGTGGGGGCAGCGGGCGATAAGAGCGAGTCACGGGGCTGGCGGGCTGGTGCGGTCGGGCCCGCCCTGCCTGCTGGACCTATGAGCCGGCCAGATCTCCCTTGGCCCGCCCTCCCGCCTCCAAGTAATGAGGATGGCGTCACCGCTGCCCGCGCCACGTGCTCCCCCGCTGCCTGCCGAGCTGCTTTGTACGCAGCAGCAAAAATCCAAGGCCCGGAGATGCCTTCAATTCTTGGGGAGGGTTTTGTTTGTTTTTAAAGCGAGGAAGAACTTTGCCCCTAGCTACGACTACGCAAGATCTTGAGAGGCGTGGAGACCCCAAGCCCTGGCTGCCACCGAGGCTGCAGGAACTCGGGAGCTTGGTGGAAGGTGTGTGGGTTCCCTTGCTTTCTGCCAGGGGCTGTGATTCTGACCTAGGACAGGTGTCCGTGCGTGGTGTGGCAGAAGAGAAAAATTAACCCAGCCCAGAATTCCTTGCGCTGTCTGCCCAGACCTGCACCTGAGTCCTCCGCTAAAACAAGGGCTCTTTAAACCGCTCAACAATCGATGTCTCTGACCCACCTCACCCCTTACTGTGGGCCAATAATAAGAGGGCTGGAGAGATGGCTCGGCTGTTAAGAGCACTTGCAGCTCTTAAAGAGGACCTGGATTCTGTTCTCAGCACTCAGAGCACCCTCCAACTCCTCCCTCCATGAGATCGTTTGCCCTCCGCACACGTGGCATTCACTCACAGAAGCACATAAATAAAAAATAAGATTTTAAAACATTAATAGATGAAATCCTAAGTGTGGTGTTTGTTTTCACTGTGTGCCTCTACACGCAAAAAGTGCATGCTCTGAGTAAAATGTTTTGTTGTTTTTTAGGTTTGTTTGTATTGGTGTGTGTGTGTGTGTGTGTGTACACATCTGCAGGTGTCTGGGGAGACTAGGGGAGAATAGGTCACAGATCCACCTTCCTCCCTAGCTGGGGTTACAGGCTTGTGAGCCTCTGACCCTGGGTGCTGTGCACCAACCAAAGTCTGACTGGCCCTGTAAGAGCAGCGAGTGCCTTAACTTGTGAAACGTCTTCTCTCTAGCCCCGGAAACGTGTACCTTGCAGCGGTTGTGATCAGAAAGCCACTGGGCTCTGGTCCCTAAGACCCCTCCAGTTTTCAAAATATCCAACTTCTGACCCAGAGCTGTGTCCCTCCCTTCCTGCGAGGAACCTGACTGAGTTTTGCAGGTTCCACCACAACGGTTGGTAAACAGATTACCGGTAAAACAAACGCAAGCATGCATCTATTATCTCTGTCTGAAACCCCGATGACTCATACGGTTTGGCCTTCTAGCTAGAAATGGGATCTGCAACGGGGGATGGCCCATTTAAAAGCTGACCTAGTTAAAACCCAGGAGCACCAGAAAACACAGGGTCAATCTGATTGGAGTCTTCTGTTCGAAGCCTCGAACTTGGAACCTAAATTGGTGAGGGGCTGACAAGGTTGATACCAAAGCCACGTGTATTTATTTGATTATCTCTCAGTACAGGAAAGGAAAATCATGGCTGGAGCTTGGTATAGAAAAACCGGCAAAACAAGATGTAGAGGTTGACCATGGAGGGTATGTTCTGAGTACCCTCTGCATCTCCAGATCAGTGTGGGAGGCTCAGGATGTTGAGCTAGGAGCCCATGGCAGTCAGCTTGGAGGACCGGGACAGGTTAGGTGCTTTTGTTTTCCAAGCCGGCATCTTCAGTGTGGATGCTATACACGTGTGGGCACTATAGTGGAGCCAGCTGTGGGTCAAGGGGGTGATGGGTGGCTTTTTCCAAGCTGGTGACGTTCTGGGCTAGGACATCTTATTGTTTAATCCAGCTCTAGGTGGTTGGCACTAGGGTTGTGACAGGAAACTAGAAGCCCAGGGCGGTGAGATGTCCTAGATCAGCTGTTCTCAACATTCCTAATGCTGAGACCCTTTAATACAGTTCCTCAGGTTGTGGGGACCCCCCCCAAGCCATAAAGGTATTTTGTTGCTGCTTCATAATTGTAGTTTTGCTTCTGTTGTGAATGGTAATGTAAATATCTGTGTTTTCTGATGGTCTTAGGGGACCCCTGTGAAAGGGTCGTCCATCCTCTAAGAGGTCTCGACCCACAGGTTGAGAACCACCGGGCTAGAGAGAGAAACTTGGACTAAGCCAGGTCTGTTTAACTACAAAGCCTGCCTGCCTCCCGCCCGCTCTCTCAGTTACCACAGAAGTTCCGAAAAAGTAAGGGGCAGAGCTCTCAAGGCATCCTTCCGCCTGGGACTTTATTTTTTAGAAAGCTGTTGTAGAGCCAAGCTGTCCGTTTTAATCAGAGCCATGTGACCCACACACACACACTTGGCGGTCACCGTCATAAAACTTTATGAGATTCTGTGTTGTGTCTCGTGAACAAGGTTTTGCACTGGGTTGTAGTTACATAGCCATTCCTGGCTGAGAGAGCATCTCCCTCTGGTCTTTCTGGGTGCCTCCGACCTGCCCTCGGTGGCCTGCCTGTCTTATCTACTGGGGACATTTGAAGACAGCGCTGAGTCCCTAACTCAGCCTACTACTTGGTACTCTGGGATGGGGCTATTTACCAGTTAGCTGTCATCTCCCGGCATGCCACCAGCCGCTGCTCTTTCTGGCAGACTCCTCCCCTAACCCCCATCTTGGTTCACCATGACTTCTGTGTCTCCTCAGCCAACAATGTGGCAGGAGCGCCCTGTGTAGGGAGAACTGGGGGCCTGTATGCGGAGGGCTGGGCCAGTTTGGTGGGGGTAGCGGCTGATGGGCTGATGGGCTGGTGCCTGACTGGCACAGGCACCTACCCAAAGCTGCTGTATGAACGAGCTCCTGCGGCATGGTTTCCACCGGTTACAGCACACCGGTTATGCGCTGTGTGCCAGGGCTGTCCTGCCTCTCTCTTCTGGTGTCCCCAGGACTTATACTGTGCCTGGGCCAATAAGGGAGGCATTTGCTAAGCAGTGCTGTGGTGTGCGTTCCCGCTAGGCTGATTATGGGGAAGGACAGTCTCTGACCTCTAGGAGGATCAGATGCTTAATACACGATTAAATGATTCATGCAGCAACCGCCTCTGAGCCCGGAGCCCAGCCTGGGTGCTCAGCGCCAATTACAAGGATGGCTGGGGATGGGGGGGAGCTTGAACTAGATTTGGGTACAGGGGTAGGTGACGAGGGGGGGCTTGTGGATCACATTTAGAAACTTAAGCATTTTCCCAGTGTTTTTGTTTTTTGAGGCTGGAGTGTGCACTTTGTAGGTTAAACAGATGTCACCACCCCCTTTCTAAGAGGTAGAAGCTTGGACTCCAGAGGACAGAGATGGTATCATTGAGCCCAGGGGTAGGGGTCTTGCATCCAGGGTGAGGTCTGTTACCAGTAGACCAGGCTATCGCCTAACCACATCCTCCCCTGAGGTCACAGCCTTCTAGTTTGAAGTAGCTTGGTGGCAGTGGCCGGGGCTGCAGCATTAGAGATGTAGGAGAAAGGTCACATCTGAGAAATCTGTAAAGGCAGATTCGCTGGTTTTGAAACAAACAAGTTCTTGAGCAGAGTGAGTGTGTTAGTGTTTATCATGAAATTCAGCTCCCACTGGTGAGGAACTATGGCAAACCCAAGCTTGGGGTGGGGTGGGTCGGGTTTTTGTTGTGTTTTTAAGAACAGGGGAGCAAGGGCAGGCTGACTTCTTGGGAATCTGTGGTACCTCCTCACTGCCAGCAGGATGTGAGTGCCAGCCTCCTCCTGGGTGTGACCTCTGGGGGAATGAAGATTGCCTCCTGCCTAGGGCTGGAAGTTCCTGTGTAAGCAGAGTAATCCTGGTCGCCGGGGCTACACAGAGTAACTAACCGCCCTGGGATGTTTTAAAAATGGCTGGTGGAACCGGGAGGACCTCTAAACCCGAAGTACACACTTTCCCTTTAATTTTAACCTGTAGTTCGCTCCCACTCAGGACTGGGCAAGGGAAGTGGGCCTTTTTAATTTTGTTTTGTTTTGAAGCGCAGCACACCCCGAATACAAAGGAGATGTTCTCCTCACATGGGAGGGCTAGAGAAGAGGTTGCCAAGTGTGGAGGAAGTGGGTTGGAAATGATAGCCGTTGCAGGGTGCGTCCTCTCATTCGCAGGGGACAGCCAGATGACTATTCATGTAGGGGACCATGTCCCCTTTGAGCCACTTCGCAGGCAGTCACCTGCCTCTCTCATTGTGAGCCTGCGTGGCCCTGGGCTTTCCACGGGATGCTGAAACCTTAGGGTCTGTGTCCTGGACCCTCCATCTTAACCTCCTACGCAGTGCAGGACACCCCCTCATTCCCTGCCAAGGAGGGGCAGGAGCAAAGGAGTCTGGGAAAGGCTACCTGAGAGTTTTCCCAGAGGGAGTGGAAGCAGCCCCTGCCCCTTGGGGACCTACACCCCATGGGGGGAGGGGAGTGCACAGCCATCCGAGCCATGGCCAGGTTGAGCTCTGCACCTTGGGGACTGAGGTGGAAGCGGTGTCCACCCAGCTGGTGAGACAGGAAAGGGCTGAAAGGAAACCATTAGCCCTGGGAGCCTGTGGAGGCACGTGCCCTAAACCTTGGCATGTCAGAGGTGCTTCAGGGGACCGCTGTGTTGTGTGGCCATTGTTGACCACGTTGGTTCGGCAGATATCTGCTGTGGCTGTCGTGAATTTCAGGATAAGAGTTTTTTTCTTTTCTTTTTTATGTTTTGAGACGAGGTCTCTCGTACAGTCCAGGCTGGCTTTGGACATGTCTGTGTATCCAAGGATGACTTTGAACACACCTGGTTGGTGGGGTGCTGGGGATCAAACCCAGGGTTTCGTGCATGCTAGGCAAGCACTACCAACTGAGCCACACCACACCACAAGTGTTTTAAATGTGGTTGTGAATAGAGAGAATCCCCCTCCAGGGTGTAGCTGGGGTGTTGAAATGAAACTATGTGTGAAATACTTAAAATGGGTCTGTTGTGGGGGAG